AAAGGAGCATTTGCCTTTATTTCCACAAGGTTGGAGTACAAGAGTAGGGAAATCTTACTTTAATTGCACAACATGCTGTTGAGACCACATCCAGAGTACTGTGAGCAGTTTTTGTCCCCTTATTTAGGGAAAGAAAGATTTTGTTTTATTCATTTGAGATGTGGACATTGTTGGCTGGCCAGCATTTATTGCCCATCTCTAGTTGCCCTTGAGAAGGTGCTGGTGAGCTGCCTTCTTGAACCGCTGCAGGCCATCTGCCATTAGGGAGGGAATTCCAGGATTTTGACCCAGCGACAGTGAAAGAACAGCAATATATTTCCAAGCCAGGATGGTGAGTGACTTGGAGGTCAACTTGCAGGTCAACTTGCAGGTGGTCATGTTCCCATACATCTGCTGCCCTTGTCCTTCTAAATGGAACTGGTTGTGGGTTTGGAAGGATCTGTCTAAGGATTTTTGGTGAATTTCTGCAGTGCATCTTGTAGATAGTACACAGTGGTGCTACTGAGTGTCAGAGGTATGATGGGTTGATGCTAATGATGTAGTGTCAATCATGCAGGCTGCTTTGTCCTGAATGGTGTCAAGCTTCTTGAGCATTGTTGGGGCTGCACTCATCCAGGCAAGTGGGGTGTATTCTGACTTGTGCCTCGTAGATGGTGGACAGGGGCTTTGGGGAGTCAGGAAGTGAGTTACTTGCTGCAGTATTCCTAACTTCTGACTTGCTGTTGTAGCCACTGTGTTTATGTGGCATGTCTAGTTGAGTTTCTGGTCAATTATAATTCCCAGGATTTTGATAGTGGAGGACTCAGTGATGGTAATACAATTGAATGCCATGAGGCAGTGGTTAGATTGTCTCTTATCCGTGATGGTCAGAGCCTGGCATTTGTGGGATGTGAATGTTCGTTACCACTTGTCAGCCCAAGCCGGAAAGATCTTGCTGCATTTGAACACAGACTGCTTCAGTATCTGAGGAGTCGCAGATGGTACTGAACATTGTGCAAACATCCCCACTTCTGACCTTATGATCGAGGGAAGGTCATTGATGAAGCAGCTGACGACGGTTGGGCTTCGGACACTACCCTGATAAACTCCTACAGAGATGTCCTGGAGCTGAGATAACTGACCTCCAAAACAATCTTCCTATGTGTCAGGTATGATTTCAACCACCAGAGAGTTTTCCCCGATACTCATTAATTCCAGTTTTCCTAGGGTTCCTTGATGCCACACTCTGTCAATTGCAGCCTTGATATCAGGGGCTGTCGCTCTCACTTCACCTTTGGACAATATCTCTTTTGTCCATGTTTGGACCAAGGCTGTAATGAGGTCAGGACCTCTGTGGCCCTGGAGGAACCCAAACTGAGTGTCACTAAGCAGGTAATGGCTGAGCAGGTGCTGCTTGGTAGCACTGTTGATGACACCTTCCATTGCTGTACTGATGATCAAGAGTAGACTGATGGGGTGGTAATTGGCCAGGTTGGACCTCTCCTGCTTTTTATATACAGAACATACTTGGGCAATTTTCCACAATGTCAGGAAGATACCAATATTATAACTGTGCTGGAACAGCTTGGCTAGGGGAGCAGCACGTACTGGAACACAAGTCTTCAGTACTATTGCTGGAATGCTGTCAGGGCCCGTAGCTTTTGTAGTATCCAGTAGCTCCATTTCTTGATATCACGTGGAGTGAATCGAATTGGCTGAAAACTGGTATCTGCAATGCTGGGAAGCACCGGAGGATTCAGAGATGGATTATCCACTTGACACTTCTGACTGCGAAAGCTTCAGCCTTATCTTTTGCACTGATGTGCTGGGCTCTTCCATCATTGAGATGGGGATATTTGTGGAGGCTCCTCCTCCAGACAGTTGTTCAATTGTCCATCACCATTCACAAATTGATGTGGCAGGACTGCAGAGCTTAGATCTGATCCGTTGGTGGTGGGATCACTTAGCTCTGTCTATCACCTGCTGCTTATACTGTTTGGCGGCTTCACCAGGTTGACACTTCATCTTCAGGTAGGCCTGGCATTGCTTCTGGCATGCTGTCCTGTGCTCTCTATTGAACCAGGATTGATCCCCTGGCTTGATGGTAATGGTTGAGTGGGGGATATGTCAGGGATATGCCGGTCATGAAGTTACAAGTTGTGCTGGAGTACAATTCTGCTGCTGTTGATGGCCCACAGCATCTCATGGATGCCCAGTCTTGAGATGCTAGATCTGTTCAAATTCCACCCCATTTAGCACAGTGATAGTGCCACACAACACAACGGACGTTATTCTCAGTGTGAAAGCGGAATTCATCTCCACAAGGACTGTGCGGTGGTCACTCTTACTGACACCGTCATGGACAGATGCAACTGCAGCTGGCAGATTGGTCAGGTCGAGTATGGTTTTCCCTCTCATTTCATTCGATGCAATTGAGAGATGGCTATTTGGGATGATTCCCAGTTTGCAGCGATTGTCTTATGTACAAAACCTGAACAGGTTGGGACTCTACTCATTGGAATTTAGAAGAATGAGAGGTGATCTAATTGAAGCATATAGGCTTCTTAAAGGACTTGACAGGATAAATGCTAAAAGGCTGTTTCCGCTGATGGGAGTGTCTAGAGCCAGAGGGTGATGCCTTCTGGAGCTTCTTCTGCGTGCTGAGTTTCTTTGGAGCGTCTTGCCAGAGAGCACTGTGGGGGCTGAATACTTGTGTATATTTAAGGCTGAGATAGAGAGATTATTCATCAGTAGGGGAATCAAGGCTTATGGGAAAAAAAAAGGATTCTGTAATATCAGATCCTATTGAATGACAAAACAGACAGAAGGGGCCAAACAGCCTACTCCTTTTCCTATTTTTTTTTTTTTAAAATGGTGTTATGTAGTGGAATCAACAAGTCAAAAGACAAGCTTACATTTCAGTTTCAAATCTCATCACTCCTATTCTTTTCATATTACAGAATTGTTTGTACCAATGTGCATTTTTCTAGTATTGAGAAGTAAGTTGCACAGTCAAGGAACAGAAAACAACTGTTTAAGTTCGAGACAACAAGGTGCAGAGCTGGATGAATACAGCAGGCTAAGCAGCATCATAGGAGCAAAAAGGCTGACGTTTCGGGCCGAGACCCTTCATCAGAAATGGGGGAGGGGAAAGGGGTTCTGAAATAAATAGGGAGAGAGGGGGAGGCGGATAGAAGATGGATAGAGGAGAGGATAGGTGGAGAGAAAACAAACAGGTTGAAGAGGCGGGGATGGAGCCAGTAAAGGTGAGTGTAGGTGGGGAGTTAGGGAGGGGATAAGTCCGTCCTCCCTGGACTGACGGGTCAAGGAGGCAGGATGAGGCTAGTAGGTAGGAGGTGGGGGTGGGACTTGAGGTGGGAGGAGGGGATAGGTGGGAGGAAGGACAGGTTAGGGAGGCGGGGATGAGCTGGGCTGGTTTTGGGATGCAGTAGAGGGAGGGGAGATTTTGAAGATTGTGAAGTCCATATTGATACCATTGGGCTGCACAGTTCCCAAGCGAAATATGAGATGCTGCTCCTGCAATCTTCGGGTGGCATCGTTGTGGCACTGCAGGAGGCCCAGGATGGACATGTCGTGCAAGGAGTGGAAGGGCGAGTTAAAATGGTTCGCGACTGGGAGGTGCAGTCGTTTGTCGCGAAACGAGTGTAGGTGTTCCACAAACGGTCCCCAAGCCTCCGCTTGGTTTCCCCGATGTAGAGGACGCCACAACGGGAACAGCGGATACAGTATACCACATTAGCAGATGTGCAGGTGAACATCTGTTTGATGTGGAAGGTCTTCTTGGGGCCTGGAATGGGGGTGAGGGGGAAGGTGTAGGGGCAGGTGTAGCACTTCCTGCGGTTGCAGGGAAAAGTGCCGGGATTGGTGGGCAGTGTGGAGCGGACAAGGGAGTCACGGAGAGAGTGGTCCCTCCGGAAAGCAGATAAGGGTGGGGAGGGAAAAGTGTCTTTGGTAGTGGGGACAGATTGCAGATGGCGGAAGTGTCGGAGGATGATGCGTTGGATCCGAAGGTTGGTGGGGTGGTATGTGAGGATGAGGGGGATTCTGTTTTGGTTGTTATTGCTTCAAAATCTCCCCTCCCCTGACCACATCCCAAAACCAGCCCAGCTCATCCCCGCCTCCCTAACCTG